CTAGCAACAGAGCAGATTAGTGGCTGGTGGGCAAGGCCAGGAGCTTGCCTGGGCACACAGGCGGGTTTCAGGTGTGCTGGCCACCCCCAGGTCTGTGCAGCAAGTTGGGTTCATCTTAATTGCAGTCGAAATGCAGCTCCAAGCCGACCCCCATTCTTAGCACTGATTCGATTTCAGTCCCCCATCCGGGTTTCAACTGTTTTCACAGTCTTCATATTGGCAGTATTGAAACAGTCTGTGGAATATACATAGTTCAAGACATAGCTCTTGTTGAAATTATTTAGGCTAAAAGTCAAAGTTTCAATGCAAGTTCTTGGGCCAGCATGATAATGCCGGAGAGGGGGAAGGTACCTGTTGCCATGACTGAGGGCCTGAGTCTGAGACCCAGACTCACATGCTAGAGTGAGAAAACCGACTCCTGCAAATTGTCCTCTGACTTTGACAGTTGCACCATGGCATGCATGTTCCCCACTCCACTAAATAAATGGAAATAAAATAAACCAAGAACTTCCCTTTGCCTGTGTAGAGAGATACCAAGACAGTGTTTACAGAACTCTACAGTCTAGGACATTATGTTAAAACCCACAGTTTACAGCTTCTACCAACATCTTACTGTACTTGATCTTGAAGAACTGTTTTCTGGAGGGTTTGGGAAGGGTGAATAAAGGGTTATGTGATTAACATGGTATTTAATTTTTTAAAAATCCTCTAATCTAGGAGTCTTGACTATTCTCAAATGAGCTAATAGCCATTGGGATGGATTTATGTAGCAAATTGCTGTCTGCTGTATTCAAATTATTCCCTGAGCTCTGACTCCTACAGAAAACACCAAATATCATGGAGACACACAATTATCATGCTTAATTAATGTTTGCAACCAAAAAGCGCAAGGTTGGAATCTTTAATATCATTGTGGATATTGAAGAGATGAAGTTGACTAACTATTATCTTGAGATTAATATATTTTTCCTCAAGCCAGACCCCGGGGTCAAAAGACAGAGTATTAAAACTATTTGAAAAATTCGCTGCAATTAATTGCTGCGGGGGCTAATTTTTTTTTAATGTCTTGCTTCCTTACGCCTGTGCTACTGATTGTTATCGCCTGCACACTTCACCCATTAAGTGGTAATTCAGAGTGACAACTACATGGAAATGAAGCAAGTTAGTTAATCACCGTGAAACTGCTCTGGAAATGCCCTGTCCAAGTACTCTCCACTCACGGGAGCTCTCATTACCTGACTCGCTCCCAGAGGGCAGTTTCCTGCACAAAGCCGTTTTTAATTTTTATGGAGAAGACAAGGGCAAAGGGGTTGGTGATGATGTTTGTGTGGCATTGTCATCAGGAACCACTCAAGGCCAAGGAGAGCCCTCAAGGTCATTCTTTGGGTGTTGGGAAGCTGCTGCTCGTTCCAGTGCTGTGGTCTTTGAAATACCCACAAGCTAGGAGTCTGGGCTGCGGAAGTGATTGTTATAACTGGGTTTTCCCAGAGTGTGACTTCAAGCTGCAGGGGGATCAGTGGGCATCAGCCAGTCTTGCTTGCCCGTGATTAGATGGCCTGCCGTAGCAACCAGGGAGCTACCTCTGTCTTCCTTTGCACTTTGACCGGGTGGACAGAGCAGCCATGCTTCTGCCCCCATTTCCTGGAATGGTGAAGTGGTACTTGTGAAAATATACTGGGCCCCAGTACAATCCACCTTTTAGAGAAGACTCAGCATCAGGTGAGGGGTGACGTGGTTCTCTGGCCTGCTGCAGTCTCTGCCTGTCTCACAGATTTATTGATCTACTGGGTACCATAACATAGCATCTCTCGTTGCATGGTCATGGGCATTGTTCTTAGTAGAAATACTTGTGCACTAATGAACATGCTTTCATGAGCTCAACTTATAACAAAGTATTCTAGATGTCAGATTGGCTATCAAAAGGATAGTCCCTCGAATTCCAAGTGTCCCTCATACTTCACTTGATGAGAATGCCACTCAGTGGCTCTGAAGAAAAGATGGTTGGTTAGGTTGTCTCTTGGTACTCCTAAACTCTAGTGTAATGCTTGAAGTAATGCTCCCAAGATGCTGTAGGTGTCAGGCAGGGTAGCACATGTTGGAATCCCAGCAGTCAGAGAGCAGAGTAAGGAGGAGCACTGCTGGTTCAAGGTCAGCCAGAAACAGAAACAAAAGTCTACTGTTTGTGAAGATGCCTGTAAGACTAGAGCGTTCACTCACTACATACATAATTCAGTGAGTGTTTAATTAGTGTTGGCAGGCACTGTAAGATTAGCACGTGGCTTACAAATGTGCCCTCAGGAAGCTCAGGGCATCATTGGGGAGAGACAAGGGAACAACACATGGCTCACTCTGCATCATGCAGAAGAAAATGTGAGATGATATGGCAGGGAGAAGAGAAGGTCAGCTCCACTGAGGAGTGCCAGACCAAGCTGGGGCGTGTGTTACAGAGGATGAGCAGAAGTTCAGCAGGAGGAGGCTAGGTGGGGAGAGCGGGGCAGGCGCCTACCCATGTACAAAGAAAAGGCAGTTCCCAACAGGAGTCAGGCTTCCTGGCAAAAATAGAAATGTTTGCTTCCCTCTGGATAGCCATGCCCTCACCTGGGCTCCTGCAAGGCCCGTCGTGCATAGCTCATATGTGGGTGATAGAGTCATCACCTGCCCTGGGCCAAAACAAGGAGAGCAAGAGAGAGCCAGGCCTCCCTAGAGGAGGGAAATGACCTAATGCTTGTAAAGGCCTGCTGTGCATAGCTTTCACTTACCGCATACAGCTCCTTTTGAAAAGAGGGGTCTGTGTTGAGACCACGTCTCTCAACTACTGTTCCATGAAAAGTCACCATAAACTAGGAAGATAAACATAAGGAGAAGAGAGTAGGCAACTTAGGCCCAAGGGGAACATGAAACAACAGACCTATGGCCTTCCTGAGCGTCTGAGGGTCAGGCTGCACACACTGCAGCTCTCAAAGCCAGCAGAGAGGGCCTTCTGCTTCTCCAGATCTCTAGGAGTTATGCTCACCCGAGTGCTACAGGATGCAGGAAAATATTATAAGAACTCAGCTGGTTATGGCAAAGCCACTACCTGGAGGGATAAAGGAATTCCTTCAGAGGAAGCCAAATTCCAAGGAGCTTTTGGTGTTATTTGGCTTGTTATATATCAGCTGTCTTCTGTTATGAAAATCATGTGTGCCGTCATAGCTTTCCCAATTGATTTTTCCCTAAGTGCTAACAGTGTGGACTGATCCCTCTCTGGACATACACATTCCAGGTATTTGGGGAACAGCCTCAGGAAAGGCTTCCTTCCCCTTTCTCCCCTTTCAGCACTGGAATCACTTTCAAGGACTAACAGAAATCACAGTCCAGACCACCAGCTAGTGCTGGGGGATGGTCTGTATGTCAAATTGCTCTGATTGGTCAATAAATAAAACACTGATTGGCCAGTGGCCAGGCAGGAAGTATAGGTGAGACTAACAGAGAGGAGAATTGAGAGAACAGGAAGGCGGAGGGAGTCACTGCCAGCCACCGCCATGACAAGCAGCACGTGAAGATGCTGGTAAGCCACGAGCTATGTGGCAAGGTATAGATTTATGGAAATGGATTAATTTAAGCTATAAGAACAGTTGGCAAGAAGCCTGCCATGGCCATACAGTTTGTAAGCAATATAAGTCTCTGTGTTTACTTGGTTGGGTCTGAGCGGCTGTGGGACTGGCGGGTGACAAAGATTTGTCCTGACTGTGGGCAAGGCAGGAAAACTCTAGCTACATGCTAGTCTCCTGATTTAAGGTAAATTCCACAAGGAGACACCGCCTAGGTCAGGTGGACTTTAAGTAATAGCTTTACACAATTTAGCTCGGATCCTCCTTTCTTACAGCCTTACTAACTTTATAGACCTCTAACTCCTTACCTAACCACTTCTAGGAATGTTTAGATAACCTCCTGCACTGACAGCTATGTTCAGCCAGAACTCCCAGTTCAAGCCTCCCTGTAATTATCATCATTGGCAGCATCTGGCCAGGTCCATCCCCAGACGGAGGAG